GTGTGTGTGTGTGTGTGTGTGGCCAGCTCAGCCCACCAGGGGGCGCGGCTGGCTGGCATGTGGTGCTGGGGGATTGAACCGCGGTCCCCGTGCTTCGCCAAGCTTGTTCCAAGTAGGTGCCCTAGACCACTGAGCCATCTCTCCAGCCCCAAGAAGAGAAGAATTTAGAGCTAGGGTAGAAGAAACAATCTTGGACTAGAAAAAAAACACTAGAAATGAAAGAAGCTTCCGGAAGAACTTGCAGGTTCTATAAACACTTCTCTGTGTGGAAGGGCATTAAAAACTTGGAGTTGGGTAATTTGATCCAGCCTACAGTTTTAGAACATTAATTCTGCTGCCCAATTTCATAACTGAGACTAAATTTAGAGTAAGTCTCTGCCCAAGTTCAGAAAGCAAGGTAACTTTGTCTTCAGGCCTAGGATTCAAAAGTAGCTTGAATATAAATGAATGGATTTTAAAATTTATTTGAAAAGACTAACCTTAAATTTCACCAAAGTACAATCTTCAAATAAACAATAGATTATGTAATCTACCTTCAAACATGTTGAATACTTGTTTCTTTTTTTGCATCTATTTTTAATTAATTTTATTGAGAAACAAATAGCAATGAGAGTTTCAAAACCGATTAGTAGGATGGTTTCAATAATTAGTACATTGCATATTGTTTTTGTAGTGGTTATTCATAGTACAAGATGCAGACATGATATCCTGTCCAGGCACTATTAATACAAATCTTTTTCTCATTGAATTAAGAAAAATAGCTGTATATCTATCCTATTTTGTATATACAGATACAAAATGTTCCTTCATTTGTATCCCCTTTTTTTGTTTAGTTTTGTCAGTTATGGGTATTCCACTGTCACTTAAATATTGTAGGTGCATGAATTCAGCAAAATAATCCTATATAGTACATTAGTCCATAATAGTAGTGGATTATCCATATTTATTTCTAAGCATATAATATCAATATACATCTCTGATTAATTACTTTTATATTACAAAATAAATTTGATATTTTTTGAATTTTTAAGCAGATGTCATATACTCTGTGTTGACAGATAACTCACCTACATCTATAATAATCACATCTACTAATGTCAAAAGAAAGGACTTCCTCCAGATAGAATGGTAGAAAAGGACACAGAGAAACTCCATCATTAAAACTTCTGTATTTCAAGAAAATTATTATTACCACTAAGCCCAAGAAAAAAATAAGTAAAAGTAACAGATAGCACTGAAATATCCTTTAAGCAGACAAGTTACTTTTGACACTCTCTTTAATTTCCTTTCAGTTCTAAATATCTGTTTATTTTCAGAATAAATTTATTGCAGACAATGTGCTCAATCACTTTAACTACACAGAAGCTAATGAGAGCCAGCATCATTACTGATATGATGCTTTGTTTATGTCAACAATGGAACTAAAATAACATAAGCAATGTTTGGTGCTTCCCCGGAAGAGTAGAACATCAGTGATTTGACACAGACTTATTTTAGCATCTTGCGATTTCACCCACAGGAAGAATTAGATACCTTATTTGTCAGAATGGAGTTATTTCCTTTAACACACATTATTAAGAATTGGCTTTTGCATTCATAGATATTTCTATTCTCAAGTTCAGATTTGTAATAGCATATCATTTGATAGCCCAAATCACAATGTCAATGTAACTGGTATCACCTAGCCCTGAAAATATCAAATAAATTTTAATATAGACATTTATAATGCAAAACATTATAATTTACTTAGTATAACATATTCAAAATTAGTATAAAATGTGTGGGTAACCATTATAGCTTAATAATTACATAGATAAAGTGAACATTTCTACAGTATATGCAAAATTAAAAACATAAATCAGTTATAAAATGTCACGGGAATACTGAAATAGCCTAGAAATTAAGCAAAAGAACCTGAATCGATTCCTTCTGCTATGCATTTTTGTCTCAGGTAAAAGAGTTTAAAAATGAAGTAAAGCAGCACTCTCAGTAAATCCTCTACAGTTATGTAATTAAGGAAAAAGAGGAAGATCTTCACACTCTGATGTTCACTGTTTTGTGTTTAAACTGAAATATGATCACAAGTGTGAAAAATATATTCAAATAACTGGAAAAGAAATCAACATCAATGAGTTACTCTTTTATTTATTTAGTACACGGTCTACAGAGTCTCACTACACAGACTGGACTTGTAGTGATCCTCCTGTTTTCATTCTCCCAAGCCCTGGGATTATAGGCGTGCATCACCAATGAGTTACTCTTAATATAATGAAAAAATCCTTTAAGTAAAGGAAGTGTAAGAGAATGTCTCTAAGTAGCAGTTTCTCCTATTATTAAGAATATTTTGTATCTCATTATGACATATCTAAGCCCTTCTGTTAAAAATACAGTAATTTGTTGAACAAGAATAATACTGTCGCTATTTCAATGCACAAAGTTCTCACTAGCTTCAGGTCTTAAAATCTTATAAAGGACACCAAAATTTTTAATATTTTCTTTCCACTGAGACTAACTGAATAATTTAAAATTCTTAGTTATCCCAGTAACTACATATTTATTCCTTATAAAAATACTATGTGGTCTTTCACAATCAAGCAGCAGAAGCGGAGAGAGGTGAAGAGTACTCAACCATTCATGGGGTCCAGAATTCTGTCACAGGCAAAGGTAAGGCCCATTGTCTTCTCAGAGTCAGTCATAAATAATGTAGCTTGGTGGTTTGCGAATACAAGATTAACGGTCAGGATATTCACCAATCAACTGAGTGAACTTGTGTATGGAAATAATGTTACTAAATTTCAGATTCTTCATCAGTATAAACTGAGTAAGAAGAGACCTTAGTGATAAGGTTTCTGTAAAGACTATTTGAGAGATCACATGGATGTAAAAGTTATCCAAGTCAGTCCTGGGGATATTGCTTAGTGGCGTGAGCACCTGCCTGTCAAGTGCAGGATCCTGAGTTTGATCCCCAGTGTGTGTGTGTATGTGGTGGGGGTTGGGGGGAGTAGAGAAATAGCAAAGTCACTGACACATGCAGCACAACAGATACATCAGATGTTGAAAAGTGATTTTTAGTAAGTATTGCTACTCTCATCACTTCTAAAGGATTTCAGGCAAAAACGCACTGTTAGAAACTAACATTATTATATATATGCATTTCAAAAAATCAAATTTTATCAACATATCTGCTGCAAGTTGAATGTATTAGGAGATTTTGTTAATTAAAAAGAGAAGGGCATTTTCACTTACCTTATCATTTACTACACTTTTCCCATCCCAGGCCCATCCTCTTTTGGTGAAGTAATTAACAGTTGCAAATTCAATTAGAGCAGAGAACACAAATGCATAACAAACAGCAATAAACCAATCCATGGCAGTGGCATAAGCCACTTTAGGGAGAGAATTCCGAGCACTGATGCTTAAAGTTGTCATTGTTAGAACAGTAGTTACTCCTGAAAAGAAAAAAAGAGAGAGAGAGAGAGAAATAGTAACATGAACAGGTGCTAGCAGGAAAGAGTTGGAAATAGTTTTTTCTTCTTTTCTTCTCTTTTCTGTTCTTTGTTCTTTCACTTTTTCATTTCCTTCCCTTCCTTCCTTTCCTCCTCCCTTCTTTTCTTCTTTCCTTCTGTACTTCCTCTGTCCTTCCTCTGTCCTTTCATTTTTTTTTTCAAAGCTTTCAGTGCTCTATCTACTTAAAAAAGGAAGAAGTAAGTGCAAAAGTAGTTATCTTAAATTGCTATCATATTTCTTTAAGGGATGGCTCTGAAAGTGTCTTCAGCTTTTATTTTTTTGTTCTGTGTGATTCATTCTTTTAGAAAGTACTGTTTTCAGGCTTATAAACTGGTAAACCTGAAATAGAATCACATATGAAGAAAAGTACTTTAAATTCCTTCATTGTTCGATAATGTTCATTTTTAAATGCTACATAAAGTCTTATATTAATTTGTTCACAATTTGCTTGAGTCATGCTAAGAAATAGACTGCCCACCCACACCAGAAAACACGTTGGAACTTCTTAATTCAAGTGTGGCTATTTATGTATAAAGTTAATTCAGGCAGTTCGACACTGTGAGGACATTGTTTCCTCTATCTGTTCCTTTTATTGCATTTCAATAAAAGCATAAAGTTTTCATATGCCAGATTTTTGGCTACTGGTTTAGTCTCACTACAATGCACTCAAATAGACCTAGGCATTAATAAACAGGTGTGCACTTCACTTCTCTGGAAAGCTCAGAGACCGTCACGTCCTGTCTTCCCACAGCGAGCACTTTTCTATGCATCATATAATAAACACGTGTTCACTCGATATGTCTTCAGTGGACTCTTTCTTTGCCCCTCACTTGTGTGTGGCCACTGCAGTGTACATCCTCTCTGGAGGGCTTAGCTGTTTCTCAGTCAAATGAAGAGGCAAGCATTTTGAGGTGCTGTTATCACTAAAATTCCAATGCATATATGTGAAACATGTAAGATTTCTTCCTTAGCAGTCAGTACCTAACATGTCTTTTTTATACTATGATTTAATTTTATATAATATTTACCATGACATGTTACAAATGCCCAAAACCTTACTTGACTAATTGATATTTCAAGTCATATTTGAGTAAATGGTGTTTAAGAAGCCAGAGCATCGTGGTGAACCACACACTGAGTGAAGAAAGTCATCTCACAGGAAGGATTTCAGCCCTAGGTCTGACCCTGTGAGCTTCAGGTCCAGGTGTCTGAGTTCCAGTTTTGTGATCTTAAGGAATTTTTCTGGCCTCATTTGTCATCTTTTTTTTTCATTTGTAAAGCAGAGATTAAACATAGTGCTTTCCAACAGTGTTGTTATTATGAACAAATGAGTTATCACTTAGAAATTTGTGCCTCTGTGTTTATAAAAAATGCTTCAAAAAGTGAGGAAGATGCAAAGCTAAAAGCAAATAAAGACAAATGTAAATAAGGAAGACAAAATGAAATTCTCTTGCATACCTTTGTTCTATCAAGTGCTGTGTGTGTGAGAACAAGTTAGCACAGAGAAGAGACCAGACACAAGAACTGTTGTACAGTAAATAGCGAATTGTTTGATACCACCTGCTGGTAACAGCTAGAAATGGCAGAAACAAAAGACATTCTGACAACAATGTGTTTGTATTTGTTTTCTTTTCAGCACCATAGACAAAGGAATACTTCTAAAAAAAAAAAAAAACCACTTCATGGGCTTACATGCACTATAAAAGTTGAAATTTTGGTTTGTACCTATTCTATATCTGATGATAAAAAACTTTGAAACTTCTATGTGTTAAGAACAGTTTTGTTGCAAATCTTCACAGTGAAATCAGTTAACAAATATTCTACTAATCTGAAACATTTTAGAACACAGAAACATCATAAGCTAGAGGGAAAACATCAAAAAAACTACAACAGTGTAGGCAGCACTGTTGAGGTGATGATAAATTTGACAATGTAACAATATATTTATTGGAATGAATGACAGAGGAAAGATTCCAATTAAAACAGAATGCCAAGTTACCTCGGATGAAAAAAATATTTATATCTCTTCATGCAAACCTGGTCTATGAAAATAAAATCATTGACACTGTGGAATCTTTCACTAAGAAAAAGAATTCTGGGAGAAAAGGAATTTGAGAGAGGAGTATAAGTTTTAGATATACTAAATCCATGACACAACTCACATGAATAAAAAGAACAATTCCTCATCCACTCAATAGTGTTGCCCACACTCCTTGTGACCTTTTAGACTTTTCCTTCTGTACCTTTACTTAATAAACTATTATTCAGTTTCTATTGTGGGTCAGCTTTTATATTTCTAATTGATAAACATTTATTAGTATCATTGCAAGAAACCTTTGCATTACTATGTGAAGCCAACCTGCATATCATACTACTTTGTGGTTGGCATGATGGGGATGTAAACAGAATGAGCAAAGCCAGATAAACTTCCTAAAAGAGATGAAAAGGGGAGAATGTGAAATCACCTAACATCACAACTGGGCAAGGCCTGGGAAATATCAATGGGGTAATCCACTTAGACTGTAAATTGGGTAAGGCAACCCTAAGAAATAAGAGGGACAGTTAAAAGGCTCAGCAGGGAAGTGAAAATCATAGTAGTGCACAGAATAGTACAAGCAGAACGCCAGGAATAAGGATCATTTACAGGAAACAGAAGATGGCAAGGAGGAATGTCAGAAAAGAGAGACATCAAAAGAGAGATGACACAAAAGAAGCAGGGATGGGACACACTACTGAAGACCTCTTCAATTATGAAGGGAATCAAAGATGATTTAAAAGACAACAACTGGCCAATAAAGGGTTAAACAGGAGCATGACAAGATTTGAAAGCTTATTTTGGGTATCTGACAGGTCTTTTTGCTTTGTTTTTGTTTTTTATTCTGCTACCATCCTCCTCAGACAAAATTTTCTTTGTTTGAGGTTGACTGCAGTGTATCAGGTGGTGCTGGTGATGGTGGTAGCATTGTTGTTCTTTTAAAATGTATAGTACTTTGTGTTCTCAGCTGTCTTTTTGTATCTTTACTTTGGTATTTGTCATGAATATCTGGAGAGTTTACAGCCATTATTGTCCCATATAAATTTTTCTCTTTGCCAACTTGCTTCTCATTCTGACAGTCTAACCATGAACTGTTCATCTGTTGAAATTGTACCACTGTCCCTGGGTTGTTTTTCTGCGTTCTTGTTGATATTTTTCCTACTTGAAATGTCACTTTGAGAAGTTCATTATGTCTTCACTAGAAGCTGATTCTTCCCTTAGCTATGCCTCTCTCTCTCTCTCTCTCTCTCTCTCTCTCTCTCTCTCTCTCTCTCTCTCTCTCCCCCTTTGTTCCAGGAATCAGACTCCGGATCCTGCGCATGCCAGGCAAGCACTGCGACACTGGACTATATCTCCAGGCAATATGCTGTACTTATTTATGAGTCCATTAAATGCACTCTTTATTTTTGCTATTGAATTGTTTGTTCTTATAATACCTTCGCATGATTTCTTTATTTTCTACCTACATTATCCATCTATCTATTTTATGCTGTTTTATTTTCCATTAAAGCCACTGATGTGATTGTGATTCATCATATTTTAAATTTTCTATTTGACAAGTACACTCCACGTACCATTGTTCTGACGTTCACTTCATCTCTTCTGTGCTTTGTTTTTATTTTTCCTTTCATCATGTGTTTTAGTTTTTATTATAAGTTGATCATATCAGTTGGGTTAATAGGAACTGATATACCTATACATGTAATGTAGAATTTATGTTAAATTTTAGATTTTCCTTTAATGTTCTTTGTGTTTAATGCTTGTTGTAGTCATATGATGTGCAAGAATCCATTTTTTAATATCCTCATTATCTCTTGCTCTAAAATTTGATGTCCATATGTACTTCTGTGAATCTGTATCTTACATTTCTTTCTACTACAACCTTCTACTGTTTGAGTGGAGCTCAGTGACTGCTGTAGTAGCATAAGGGAGAAGGACTGTCATTATTGTCTTCTTACATCTCATTCTCCCATGGGTCTTGGTCTCATGCTGTCATCTTTACAAGTATTTTCCCATTCCCCTACTCCCTTCCTTGCCTGTGGCATTCCCAGTGTATGTCCTTGAAGCCAGGAGCCTAATAGCTGTGTGTCTTTTTCCTCTTACTTCCCTTATATAAGTCAGTAAGAGCAGCACACTAGATAGGGTAAAACCCAGGCCCTGTCTCTTTCTCACACTACCTACACTTAATCCTCTTCAAGTATCAAAATTACCACGTGAGTGCTCTTCCCAAAATATGGCTTCTACCTCTCCTGGTACCATATTTGGGTTGTGTTATTCTAAATACGCCTACCTCTTCACAATTTAGAGTAGCAGTTTGCCTGGCACCTGAGTTCTGGTATGAATGCAATGAAGATCTTCAGTCTTCAGTTTCTCTAACTGTATCTTGTTGTATGGACAGAAGAATGACAACTTGCATGTGCTCTGCTTTGTCAATACTGAAATCTGAAGCTTGGAGCCTTAATTTTAAGGTATGAATTTTTAAATAACTTCCTATGTTATTAGTCATATATCAACTATTTTCCTTCTGGATTTTCAAAAATTTTACTCTAGATAGTTGGATTTGACAAATAAACAGAAAAACGAGGTGAGAGCTAATTAAAGTAATGAGTCACATAATCTGTGCAACATTTGAGAACTCAATAAGCAAATATCTACCGATGACTGCAGTTCATGGCAAATTCACGAGTGTGTGAATGTGGCCCCTATAATTAAAAGGGGAACTGTCTTGGTTACTTTTTGCTTGCTGCTGAGACAAAATACCTGATGCACAGAATTAAGGAAAGAAAGGTTTGTTTAGCTCACAGTTTATGGAGGTTTTAGCACATACTCCGCTGTCTGGAAGGCGGAGTGCCACACGGCAGAGGGCAACAGTTCATGACAGAATACAGCAAAAGCAACAAGAACAAA